ACACCAGAGTCTTCACCTAAATTTCAACCAATTGCGCTCTCTTCACACCTGACAATGCTTCCGGCATTGTTGTCTGGGGCCCCATTTTCCCAGGCCTACCTATAAGAATCCCACTCGTTCTTCAGTATTCAATTCCAGTTATCTTATCTTTGCAAAATTTATATAAATTGTGTCTTCCTTTCTATTCCATAGTATATTTTATTAAGTATTAAATTTTCAAATATAGTGAACTCTGTTTATTCACCAAATACTGATAAAAAAAAAAACTATGCTGAATTAGTGATTGGGCACATTTCTTGATCTAAAGTTGAATTCAACTCTGTAGAAATAACACTGTAGGATGATATCAAGGTACTGCTATAATAAAATTACACATAATAATTATGTGAGTCACAGAGGAGAGAACAACTAACTTCTAGGTCTTGAGTCAGTTGTTATGATGGTGCTCAAAAAAGGGATGACAAGCTAATTAAATTTTTAAATATATATGAGGTTTTTTTTTTTTTTAAATAATGAAGTTACATTACAAATGGTGAAAATCCTTAAGGGTGTTTAAGTTTAGTAAACATGATGTCCCAAAACATTGTTTGTTAACATATCTCAGAACTAATTTTGACTTATTCTACATTCTCTCCTATGTTTCAAGGGCTGAAAGTGTTGAAAGCTTAGTCTAAAAGGAGATACACAGGCAAATTCAACAGATCTGAATAGGTTTCTCGTTCTTTAGACATAAAGGCATTCCAGGGTTAGTGGGAAGCCTATGCCAAATTTCAAACGGCCTCCAGACACTTTCAGAACAATCATTTAGATGAGTGCTTTTAATGGTTGAGGTAATTGATGGTAGTTTTATGTAATTCTATTACTTTCTAATTTTAATTAATTTCTAGTTAATTTTGTTAATTAATTCCTAACACAACTTATGGAGGTTGCTATTGTCTCAACACGATTTATTTATATATTTTTACTCTCTGTATTAAATAGCTTCTAACTTAAAGTATGTTGAATGCTTTTTGGTTTTATCAATCTTTTTTACTGAAACTGAATTGTTTAAGGATGGAAAAAAACTTATTTGCATACAGATCAAGATATAGGAATTCCTTGTTTTATTGCAATTCACTTTATTGTGTTTTGCAAACACTGTGTTTTGCAGATACTGTGTGTTTTACTGTTTGAAGGTTTGTGGCAACTCTGCATCAAGAAAGCCTATTAGTGCCATTTCTCCAACATGTTCAGATTATGGTTAGAATTTTTCAGTAATAGAATACATTTTAATTAAGGTATATAGATTTTTAGACAGAATTCCATTGCTCACTTAGAACAATCAAGCTAAAGTATGAGCATGAGCAATGTGTATATGTACATATGAAATGTATATATAGTATACATGTGCTTACTGTCATGCATGTGAAATTTATGAAAATGTGTAATACTGATGATTTGTTTTTCCACTAGAGAATAGAGGTTCAGGGAATAAAAGTTCATAACTAAAATCCTGGTTGTATAGGTGGTTTCATTTGTTACATTCCTTTACATCAGAATTAAAAATGTAGAGGAGAATTTTTTTAAATAAGTAATTTTTAAAGCATTGAAATTTTAAATAATTTAGTGAATGTTTTGAACGAGCCAGGGATCAATTTTGGCACATATACATGGCCCAGAAAATTCTACTAAATAAAGAAGCAGAGGTGGGGGGAAGGCAGAGACAAATGTATTTTTTTTTTTCCCCCATTTATTTTTTTTTATCTCCCCTATTTCCTTTTAAATAAATATTATTTTTTTTTTTTTTTTTTTTTTTTTTTTTTTTTTTTTTTTTTTTAAAAATATTTAAAAAAGTAAATAAATTAATTAAAAAAATTAAAAAAAAAAGAAGCAGAAAACAAAATAACAATTTGTACAGACTGCTAATTAAATATGGGTACTGAGTACCTGAACAATTCATTTTAAGAAGAGACACACCCTGAAAACAGGGTAAACTATTATCAAACCAGACTAGTTTTACTTTATTTTATTTGAATAAAAAGCATGAAGATATTTCTTTCTGGACAACAGAAAAAATGAGCGTGGATTGCTGACTTCCAACTGCACACCATCTGAGAACTGCCTCAGAAGCAAAAGACAAGTTGATGTGTCACAAAACTTAAAAAAAATGAGGGCCTGAAAGAGACAAAAATATTTCATAAAAAAAGCTGACTTTTTTTTAAGGTGCTGAGAATATTGGCTTGTTGAATGGAAAAACAAAAAACAAAACAAAACAAAAAAACAAGTATATTGTAGCTTAAACCACATGCATATGACTGTCAAATATTTTGTTAAAAATATATTAAGAATAAATCGATTCAAACAAAAGAAAAACAAGTAGAATATATTTCTGATATTAAGTAAGAGGCGTATATTTATTAAACAAAGCTCCCAAATTGAAAAACATTTATAAAGGAAAAGTTGACATATTTTACTTAAATCAACAATATAAGTCATATTAAAAGATGATAACAAAATATATTAACAATATTTGAATGCAGATACATGTTCTGTATATGAAATATACAAAGTGAACTTTGAATTCCATTAAAATGTCTAGATTCAATAAATCTATAGTCAAAGTACATAAACAGGCCAAATTCCAAAAGGGACACAATATATGCTGAGGTATAAAGAATCATTCAGTCTCATATAGAAAACAATACAAATTAAAACCACTTAACATAGAGATACGAGATATATTATTGCATGATTTTTTATTTTGACATTCAGTTACTTGATCATGATACTTTTTTTTTAAATAATGCTGAACTTAATTTAATAGAAATTGTGTTTTTATGTGATTCATTTTAAGAAATATTGATATATACTTTTATTGGGGTGGGAGATAGAATTTTACAAGATGTCGGTGTTGGTGTCAAGGTAAAGTTTTAGTACACAAGAATATAAATATTCACAGGTCTCTGACTATAAGCAAAATTCAAGAACAATTTCTACTCTAATGAGTAGCTTCATTGTAAAGAATTTGTAAAAATAATTTTTAACTAAAAAAGTAACTAAAGTCTTATGGATGGGAATTAGTCTGATCATGCAATTTTTCCAAATCAATTATAATTTGTGATAAATTTATTTGATGTCTGCAGTCCAAATGAAAATGGAGTGGTACAAGCAATATTTGCAGTTAAGCATACTCTGTCGAAAAATCCAATGAGCTCACTTTCTCTAGTCTAACTCATTTCCTAACTCAGTTATCAATTCCACACCTGCAGTGTCCACTCTTTGCTTTTACTTTGTTTGCCCACCACTTCCCCTTTACTTCATCAAGGTTGAATCTCATAATATACCCTACAGTCTGCATCTCCCTATCTTATTTTCTCTCTCATGTCATTTTTTCCCCCAAATTGGCCTCTACTTCAGTATTTTGAATTATGCCATAAATCTTCTCCTAACTGTGCATAAATCACTTTTAAACTTTTGAAGCATGTAGCATTAAAGCATTTTGGTTTATTTATGAATTATAAGTTTTTGAAAAGTATTCATTTACAAATTTTTTTTCTATATGAAGAATAATAAATGCGGTACCCCAATTTTTTCCTCTGATTTTGAATTCTTTCATAAAATCGCTGGTACTTGAAGTAGAATGGTTTCATCATACCAGTGTTAACCAGTTCTTTCAGATCCTAGTCAGTTCTTCAAACTACTAGAAGGAGTATTTATTTTCCCAAGAAACACTTCTCAAGAGAAAGAGAATTTCAAGACCTCAATAAAATGACAGAAATGAAGCAGATGATTGTAATCCCTGTATGGAGATCTTAAACATGCCACAGAATGAAGAGAGGGTGCTACTCATGCTCATAGAGTTATATAAGGAGAAGCTACCTCTGACAAATAGGTGATTTAGATCAAACTGAACATAATAGGTAAGAGATCTAATGTTGTCCCATATATTATAGATCATAAGTTTTGACACACAGAGTGTATTGGGGATATCAGCACTTTCATTGTATAAGACTGAGCTTCTTTTACCACATTATCTATACTAATTATTGCAATACAGACTTGCTACAACAGATAAATCATAAAGTTGGAGTCACTTAATACAATATCTTGTTTCTACAGGCAGAGCATGGTCAGTGATTGGGTGGCTCTCCTGTAAGCTATGATTAATTGCATCAGAGGACTTCTATTTGGTGGTCCCCCTGTCTTCACAGTGTGGCTTCCATGTTCATCAAGCTGCTTTGCTCAAGACCCAGGAAGAGAAAGAACAGAATGCCAGGTTTTGGATATAAGCCCACATTATTTTGTTAGCTCTCAGGGACGAGTGGCTAAAGTTAACCTCAAAAGCTACTGGGCAGTTTAGTGCAGCTAAGTACCCCAAAAGAAAGGAAAGTAGGCATGGTGAGCAACTAGTTATTCTGAGTCACAATAATTTTAACTGAATAAAAATGTTGAAAATGGAAAAAGAGAACTTATTGAACCCAAGCTCTTGGAAATGTTATTTTTTTCATAAAATATTTGGAAATAATTACTTATATAAATTATATGAATTAATGACATTGGATACGTTTCATAAAATTAAGTAAAGAGGGCCATTATAATTGAGTAGTGAGAATTGTAGGCAGGCAGCCAGCTAGCCAATCAGTTAATTCAACTTTTAAACATTGTGTTTAGAAAGAAGTGTTTAATGCTGATGAGTAGTGCCTGAAAAAAATGTTTCTTTGAAGCATTAGCACTTTACATAAAACCCAGAGGGAGTGGATGTTGGGTTGGAATAGGGTGTGTGTGGCTGTGGGGGATTGGGCCAGATAGAAAGAAATAAGAGAACATTCTAAGTCAAAATATTGATCTGAATTTATTTTTGAATGTCTACAAATATTTTTTAATATTAAATTTTATAATTGTTTTATTTAATGCTTATGTTATGGCTAGAAAATTCTATTGATTCTCTAAAGATAGAGAGGAACCATGGATTTGGGATTTGAGGGTCAATATTGTTTCATTTGAAAAAAAATGTGAGAGTAGTGCTTGCTTCTGCAGAATATATACTAAAATTAGAACCATACAGAGAACATTAGCATGCTCCCTGTGCAAGGATGACAAGCAAAAAAAATGAGAATAAATATTAAAGCTTGATAAATGCATGAATATGATATTGTAGGCAGAATGCTTCCTCCCTGTCCATTCCCCACACATGAAGATATCCCTGGAACCTGTGAAGATTTTACATGTCATGGCAGAAAGAGCTTTGCAGATACAATTAAGGTTATATGCCTTAAAATAGGGAAATTATCCTGGATTTTCTGGTTAGGAACAATTTATGCACATGAGCCCTTAAAAGCCAATGATTGTCTCCACTTAGAGTTTAGAAAAATTGTGGCAGAAGGGAGTCAGAAAAATTTATAGACTGAAAAATATTCCACCCACCTTTGCCATATGGAAAACACTAGAAGGAATGGGGACAATCTTTTTTAATGAAGATAGTCCTCTTATTAGCCAGCAAGAAAATGGGAACCATACAAAAGAAATTCAAGGAACTGAATTCAGCACACAGATAAAATGAGTTTGATAACAAACTCATTCTTAGAACCTCCAGAAGCTAATGCTGCCCTGCCTGCACCTTGGTTTCTGCCTCGTGAGACTTTGCATAGATATCAAGGTGAGCCGTGGTGTACCAGGGCTTCGGACTTGCAGAACTGTGATACAATACATTTGCATTGTTTTCATACACATAATTTGTGATAATTTGTTATGGCAGCAAGAAAACTAAGGCAATTATAAAATTTAAAAAAGTAAAACATAGTGAGGAAGATGAATTCTGTGCTCAATTGTCTGAAAAGATTACAAATATAGAAGTCAGCATACAAAAGCCAGAAACACTGCTTATATGATTCAGTGAAAAGTTAGGTGGATATATCATAAGCATAGTAATATAACTTCAAACAAACTTATTTAGAGATAAGAATACTGTGTTTAATTTTCATATGGTTTGGTTTTTTAATTGTAGAATAGATGTGTTAGCAAACATGAAAACAACATTAATCTCATTGTGGATCTCTATCAGAGCTCTTGGGTAACCATGTGCATTGTCAATGAGAAGTAATTTTCTGAAAGGAATTATTTTTTTTTCCTGAGCTATAGGTCTCAACATTGTGCTTAAAATATTCAGTAAACCATGTTGTAAACAGACATGCTGTCATCAAGGCTTTCCTGTTACATTGCTAGAGCACAGGAAGAGTAGATATAGCATAATTCTAAGGGGCCTAGGATTTTCTAAATGGTAAGCGATCATTAGAAAATAATCATTTTCTAAATGGTAAATAATTCATCTTAAAGTCACCAGCTGCATTAACCCCTAACAAGAGAGTCAGCCTGTCCTTTGAATCTTTGAAACCAGGCCCCGACTTCTTCTCTCTAGTTATGAAAGTCCTCAATAACATCTTCTTCTAGTGTAAGACTCTTTTATTTACACTGAAAATCTTAGTGTAGCCATGTTCACTAATTATTTTATCTAGATTTTATGGATAACTTGCTGCAGCCTCTACATCAGCACTTGCTGCTTCACTTTGCACTCTAAGTTAGAAAGATGGCTTCTTTCTTTAAACAACATAAACTTCTGATAGCTTCAAACTTTTCTTCTGCAGCTTCTTCACCTTTCTCAGCCTTCATGAAATTAAAGAGAGCTAGAACCTTGCTCTGGATTATGGTTCAGTTTAAGGGAATGTTGCAGCTGGTTTGATCTTCTCTCCAGACCACTAAAACTTTCTCCATATCAGCAGTATGGCTGTTTTACTTCTTTATCATCTGTGTGTTTGCTGGAGTAGCATCTTTAATTTACTTTAAGAACTTTTGCTTTGTGGTCAGATCTTGCTTAACTGTTTGGTGCAAGAGGCTAATCTGTCAGCCTAGCTCCACTTTCAGCATATCTTGCTCTCTAAACTTAATCTAGTTTTTTATTTAAAGTGAGCATCATGTGACCCTTTCTTTCAAATGAACACTTAGAGGTCTCGGTAGGGTTATTAACTGGCCTTTTAAATGAGTTTCAATATTTTTGTTTCTAAGGAAATACGGAGGCCCAAGGAGAGAGAGAGATGAAGGAATGGCCAGTTGGTAGAGCAGCCAGGAATATGCATTTATTAAGTTAACCCTCTTATATGGGCACAGTTCATGATGTCCCCAAACAATTGTATAGTCACATCACAAGTCATGGATCACAGACCATTATAATAAGTATAATAATAATGAAAATTTTGCAACATTGTGAAAATTACCAAGGTGTGGCACAGAGACACAGAGTGACCAAATACTGTTGGAAAAATGACATCCATAGATATGCTTGACACAGTGTGCCATAACCTTCAATTTGTAAGAAATACAATACCTGAGAAACCCCATAAAGTGAAGAGCAGTCTAACGAGCTATGCTTGTAAAGTATCCTTTCTTATTTGAGAATTTTGGTATAAAGATGACACTTTACCTTTTTCTGCAAATCATATAGTAATAAAGAAAAACAAAAAAAATAAGAAGAAAGTAGAGGTGACTTTAAATTCCACATGCCATACTGAAGAAGAAAAAAAGAATGAACAAGTTAAAAACAACACACAGAGCTTTATGTGAGATGAAGCCCAGAAGGTGTCAGCGCTTGTCCTTAGAGATATCTTAAAATAAATACTCCTTGATGGCCACAAGCACAACCTGAGGTGGAGGATTCAAATGCCCCATGTGGAACAGTAAGATGACAACAAGCATTGATCACAGAAGCTTCCTGGTCTCCTTGTTTCTGAACACCAAGTGGGCAGAGCTTAGAGAAGACTGACACAAGCAAGTCATATCTCCCAGAAGCCACCTGCCTCTGTGGCGATGAGGCCAAATGAGATTTCACATTGCAAATGTTCTCAGTTGCATATTTCTCTCAGGTGGAGAAAAGTGATGTGCAATTGACATTACATATAATTCCTTATATGAAAAATTCATGTTTCTGAGATAAAAATGGAAATATTGTGCATGTATAAATGTATCATAAGTATATAAAAGAAAAATTGAAATATGAAATAAGTTAAATGTTGAGCAGTACTGAATGAATAAATGGTACATCCATCATTGAATATATGGTGGTAAATTCATAGAGTAGAATACTATTCAGTTATTAAGATAATGCTGTTAACAAATGTTTATTAACATCAGAACAGGTTCATGCTATGCAAAGTGAAAAAAATCAGGTTGTAAAATCTATATACTACATCATATTTTTTAAATCAAATTTTTTTGTTATTTTTTAAAAGATTTTATTTATTTACTTTTAGAGAGAAGGGAAGGGAGGAAAAAAGAGAGGGAGAGAAACATCAATGTGTGGTTGCTTCTCACGTGCCCCCCATTGGGGACCTGGCCCGCAACCCAGGCATGCGCCCTGACTGGGAATCAAACCAGTGACCCCCGGCTTCACAGTCCAGCTCTCAATTCACTGAATCATACCTGCCAGGGCAACATTTATATGTATGTATGTATGTATTCATCAATCCCTACTACAGAAGAAGTTTTGAATGAAAATATCTGTGAGCTAAAATGACAACAGTAGAATGGATCAACTGTATATCCATAATTTTACACAGATACAAGTGGTAACAATGTGGAAGCAGGTTGATACTTCCATGATAAATCCCCTCTCAGTAAATAGATTTCATTTCAATTCTATGTTATCTATATTTCTGGCTTTATTATTTAAAGATACTCTTTAATTCTGACATGTGATTTGAGAAAATATATCTATTTTCATTATGTTTCTGCTTTGAATAAAATGAGATATATAAATTCCTCTAATGTCAGCAGAGAGCTTTAAACAAATGCTTGATCTCAAATCTACAGAAATTTGCTTACCTCACCTATATTCTTTCATCATTGATTTATTTAACATCCTGACATATGGGGGATTCAGAAATACAAACGATACAACTATAAATCTGAGATACTCTATTGCTGCTATGAAGTGTTGTGACAAACTCTGCCTCCCCCCACCCCTGAGAAAAAGCATAAAGTGTATTAAAACTAAAATAACTCTGGCTAATACCCATTAGTTTCAACCTAGTTTCACATAGTATTTAGAAGTTGTCCCAGTTAAATCCATCAAAACACAAACCCTGCTAAGACAGGGGACTTTTGTCCCTAAGGGCTCTTTCCTATAATTGCAGACCCATCAGATTTTCAAGTCATATGGGAAGTCAATAGGGAATCTCCAGGGAAGCTAGTTCTTTCCTAACTTCGCTATTTCTCTATTACTAGGTTCACCTCATTTCAACTCTCATTCAAATTTTAACAACTGCAAGAGTAAGCTTATTTCAGAGCCTCCTGACATACATTTTTACCTGGCAGAAGATTCCAATACCCTTAGGGACCATATCAAAAATGCCCCACTTAAAAAGAATTTGCTGAAGTGCATTTATGAACTCAATCCCAGTGCATTCAGCGGTACAAGTCTATAATTTTCCTCAAATAAAGCTTGGCCTTTGAGCATAGTTATACTTTGTATCAAAGTCATATGCAATTATAAAAACGAATGAAAAAAAGTCAGCACCCTTTGGGCAGCTCTTCTGATCATAGAGGTCAAAGAAACGCCAACAGACTATTTCTTCCACGCCTTGCCTGCAGTCAGAGTTGTATTACAACCACCCAGAAAGATTATTTTCCCTTTTAAAAAATTCTTCAATTATTCTCTATGGATAGATATAGAAGCACTTAATACCCTAACATAATTTTCTCAGGATGTTAAAAGAAAAAAGGATGTTTGAGTAAGAAAATGTATGGTTGCTGATTATACACTGGGATCAGGAAAATCTTTTTACAATGAATAACAAGAGACCATAACTGCTAAAGAAAGGGCACATTAGTTTTACTACCTGCAAAAGCAGGTAACTAGTATGCAGCAAATTATAATGCATTAATATTCCTTTCCTCTTAGGTATGTCTCTCTGATAACATGGCAGAGGAATACCAAGAAATGACTCTTCTAAAATGCAAATTCTTCTTCTGAATGCTTAACTCCTTTGTTAATGTGATGAGCACTTCCTTTATTAGTCTTTAGCTACTATTAAAATAGAAATCTTACCAAAAGAAACCAAGCATTCAATCACAATA